GCATTCCTTTTCGATGGCGGCGTAGCTTACTTCCCGGGGTAAAAGTTTTCTGCTTAAGTAGGCCACTGGATGCTCACCGCCATCTGCTCCGACTTGGCTCAGTACTGCCCCCAATCCAAACATAGAAGCGTCTGTATGGACGAGAAAACGTTTTGTTGGATCAGGAGCAGCAAGTACAGGTGCGTTAACAAGAGCAGTTTTTAGTTGCTGGAATGCCCGTTCACACTCTGGGGCCCATTCTACTAACTTAGGGAGGTTTTTGCGGGTTAAATCGGTGAGGGGTTTGGCCAGGGTGCTGTAATCGGGCACAAACTTCCGATAGTACCCTGCGGTACCTAAGAACGCCAGGACCTGGGTTTTGGTACGCGGTGTTGGCCATTTGGCTACGGCCTCTACCTTGGCGGGTTCTGGCTTTTGCTGGCCGCTTCCTACCCGGTGCCCTAAATACTGAACTTCAGCCATCCCTATATGGCACTTACTGGGTTTAAGGGTTAACCCTGCCTCCCTAATGCGGTCTAGTACGGCTCCTATATGGGTCAGGTGTTCGGTCCAGGAATGGCTGAAGATTGCTATGTCGTCTAAATAGGCGCAAGCGTACTCCTGGAACCCATCCAACAGCCGATCCACCATCCTCTGAAAGGTAGCCGGAGCGTTTCTCATCCCGAATGGCATGACCTTAAACTGGTACAGGCCGAACGGGGTTACAAACGCCGACTTAGGGATGGCGTCCTCGGCTAAAGGAATTTGCCAATAGCCCTTACAAAGGTCTATCGTGGTGAGGTACTGGCCCCTGGCCATTTTGTCTAGGAGCTCGTCTATCCGGGGCATAGGGTAGGCATCAGATACTGTCTTATCATTGAGCCTTCGATAGTCTATGCAGAAGCGGGTAGTTCCATCCCGCTTCGGCACCAGAACTACTGGGGAGGCCCATGGGCTATCAGAAGGTTCTATAACCCCCAATTGTAACATTTCCTTGAGCTCCTTACGCATATTCTCTTTTACAGACTCGGGGATGCGGTAAGGAGGTTGGCGGAGGGGTGTCTGCCCTGGGGTTTCTACACGGTGGGTGGCTAACGGGGTATACCCAGGGAGGTTAGAAAAGGTGGCCCCTTTTTCCCTAATTAAGCTTTGGGCCTGGGCCCGCTCCTGGGGACTCAAGCGCTCCCCTAGCTGTACTGCTTCCAGATCCTCATTTTTGTCTTCTTTCTCTAGGAGGTCTGGGAGGGGCAAATTATCAAAATCCTCTGCAGCGGAAGCACAAATCGCGGTCACCTCCTCTGTGCGCTCGTGGTAAGGCTTCAGCATGTTCACATGGAGCATGCGTCTGCCCCCTGCTCCAGCGCATGGGCCAATTACATAGGTGGTATCACAGATTTGCTCTACCACCTTGAATGGGCCCTGCCAGGAGGCCTGCAGCTTGTCATTAGGGACAGGTCATAGGATTAGCACCTTCTGCCCGACCTGAAAGCTGCGGTCCCTGGCCCCCCTATCATACCATCTGCGTTGTCTTTGCTGGGCCGCTTGGAGGTTGGTATGTACGGTCTGGGTCAAAGCCTCTAAGCGTTCCCGGAACTCCAGCACATAGGGTACAACAGGGGTACCATAGGTGGTCACTCCCCCCTCCCAGTGCTCTCTGATTAAATCTAGGGGGCCCCTCACCCTCCTTCCGAACAATAATTCAAAGGGAGAGAACCCAGTGGATTCTTGGGGAACTTCCCTATAGGCGAACAGCAAGTGGGGTAAAAACCTCTCCCAGTCCTTCTGCGTGTCTATGAACATCCGGATCATCTGCTTAAGTGTTCCGTTAAACCGTTCACAGAGACCGTTGGATTGAGGGTGGTAGGGTGAGTTAAGGATAGACTTTACCCCACAGACCTTCCAGAGCTGGTGGGTGACCTCTGCAGTGAATTGGGTACCCCTATCCGAAATAATCTCCCGTGGGAATCCCATGCGGGAGAAAATTCGCATAAGGGCATCTGCTACGGTCTCTGCATGTACATTCGTTAGAGCCACCGCCTCGGGGTATCTAGTGGCGTAGTCCACTACGGTCAAGATGTACTTCTTGCCAGAGGGACTGGGTTTTTTCAGGGGTCCGATTATGTCCACTGCTACTCTACTAAAGGGCTCTTCTATTATGGGCAGGGAATGGAGTTTGGCTTTGTAGCGGTCTCCCCTCTTCCCTACCCTCTGGCAGGTATCACAGGTGTTACAGTATTGCCTAATATCCTTGGAGATACCTGGCCAGAAGAAGTTCTGCGTCAGCCGATGTTTAGTTCGGCTGATCCCTAAATGACCGGATAAGGGTATGTCGTGCGCTATGCGCAGTAACTCCTGTCTATACTTTCGAGGCACAATTAACTGCTTTATGGGTATGGGAATAGACCCGGCTACTACCTTCTCTGCATACCGGTATAATAACCCTTGATCCCAAGCATATCTCTCTCCTTCTAAGCCTGCCTGGTTCTTGTCAATTCGGTCTTTGTAAACCTGCAGGGACGGGTCTAGAGCGACCTCGCTACCAAATTCTAGGGGGGCATCCCAGGGGAGGGCAGTGTGGTTATGGGGTTCATTGCTTACCTGAGCCTCAGAGTCACTGGATGGGACCGTGGTGCGGGCCTGCAGCCTGGTGATGACTGGGTAAGCTTCCTGTACGGTGGTTCGCGGAACAAAAGCGGAAGTGAGCTCCCCCAAGTCATTTCCCAAAATAACATCTGCGGGCAAGTCTTGCATCATCCCCACCTCCACGTTCCCTGACCCTGCTCCCCAATTCAAATGTATCTTGGCAGTGGGAACCTTGTAGATCGCTCCCCCTGCCACCCGTACTGCTACACAATCCCCCGTAAGCTGGTTCTTTGGGACAAGGTGGTTTCGGACCAAGGTGATGGTGGCCCCGGAATCTCTCAGTCCCTCCATAGGCTTCCCTTCTATGTGGACGACTTGGCGATGGCTTTGGCGGTTATCGGACGCCGCTTGGACGGGGTTAACTTCATGGAGAGTGCCTAGAGGTTCCTCCACCTGGGTGGCTGTGGAGGGCTGGATGAATGATTCATTCTGATAGCAGTGTACCGCAGCCCGAGTGCCAGGAGGTTGGCCTTGGTTGGGCCATGATGGTCGTGCCCTGTTTCGGGGGCATTCTCGTTGTACATGCCCCAGTTGGTTGCAGGTGTGGCATCTGATGTGTGCCCGGTTGGGGTACCTAGGTTGGTATTGGTTGTTAGCTCCCCCAGATCGTGGGTGAGCTGTTTCGGCCAAGGCAGGCCTGTGGTTTGTCGACTGGGGGAATACCCTGGTTGGTGGGCGCTGCTCTCGTCTGGTGTCTTGATGTTCGTCCGCTAATTTGGCCGCGTCTTGTAAGGTGCGTGGTTTACGATCTCTTACCCAGTTCTGCATATCAGTAGTTAGTCTCCGGTAGAACTGTTCCAACAAAAGTAAATGAATGAGATCTTCCCGGGTAGTTGCTTGCGCCGCATCAATCCACCCCGTGGCTGCTCGGTGTAAGCGGTGCGCAAACTCTGCGTGGGAGTCCTTTTCTTGTTTTTGCAGGTCCCGGAATTGGAGTCGGTATGCCTCGGGGGTAATGGCATACCGGACTAGGATGGCCTGCTTTACCTTCTGGTAGTCTCTGCTATCCTCATCAGGCACTGCCCGGTAGGCTTCTGCTGCGCGGCCAGATAATCTACCGGCCAGCAGTGGTACCTGGTCTTGGGGCCCAATATCATGCAGCTGGCACAGTCTTTCAAAGTCCTGCAAATATCCATCAATATCGCCCTCTGTGTCCGTAAAGTTTTTAAAGGCTTGGTAGGGAATTTTGGGTTTTCCCTGTACAATGCTGGGTGGAGCCGGTGACCCCTCTCTGGATTGCTGGTTTGGTTGGAATCGTTTGGCCATGATGTATTCTTGCACATCTGCCATGATCCTATCGAAAGTCTCTTGGGGTGGTGTGGTTGGGTACAGTGCCATCCTGCTCCTGAACTCTTTCTGAAATTCTGTTTGCTCTTCCTCCATTGGAGGTGCTGCAGCAGCCGCTGCTCTGTCTCCTTCCATGAGCTCAGCAATAAGGGTAGCCTTTGTCTTGTTGCTGGCTATTGTTCCCCTTGCCTCTAGTAATTCCTTCAGTGTACTCCGTTTCAAAAGTGCATAATTCGTTTCCATTCACCTGCTGTTCGTGTGATTCCACTTATTCCCGAACTCCGGTTTCATCCGAATGGTTGTTTCACGAATTGCTGTTTCTTTTCCTCTGCTCACATCAATCCCTGCCGAACGCTGCTTTGCTGTGTGGTTTGAATCCCGTCGCTTGCCACCAATTGTAGCAGAGTAGTGGTATTATCCACGGTATCTCCGCTGGTAGGCAGGATGAAGCAGGTAAAATGCAGGTAGCGTAGTTACAATCCTTTTCTCCTAAGAACTAGACGACACATAGCTTGGAGGTTAAAACACTGGCATCTCACCAGGCTGAGTCAAAACTCTTTAATGATTACATCTTCCTTTTAGCACAGACCTCCGCAGGGGGGGTCTGCATTCCACACAATACACTTCCCTTAGTCCCAGGCAGGAGGGGGTTGGGTTACAGATAGCCATCTCCCGCCTTAGGAGATACCAAGCAGTACACAGGGATACACTTTACATCATATTACATTCAGGGGGGGGGTTACACTTTAAGTGGCTGGTTTGGCCACAGATAGGAATAGCAATGCAGTAATAGCAAGATATATACAAGGACATTCTGTAAGTGGCTAGGTTTGCCACAAACCCCCTCCCTCACTCTGTCACTAGTCACCCCTTCCCTCACTCACTCTGTCACCCCTTCCCTCCCTTACTCTGTCACTAGTCACCCCCTCCCTCACTCTGTCACTAGTCACCCACTTACTCTAGTGACAGAGGGAGGGATGGGGTGACTATTGACAGAGGGAGGGATGGGGTGACTAGTGACAGAGGGAGGGATGGGGTGACACAGTGACAGAGGGAGGGATGGGGTGACACAGTGACAGAGGGAGGGGGTGACTAGTGAGAGTGCGGGAGTGGGTGACTAGTGACAGAGGGAAGGATGGGTTGACTAGTGACAGTCACCACCTCCCTCACTCTGTCACTAATCACCATCTCCCTCTGTCACTAGTCACCCCCTCCCTCACTCTGTCACTAGTCACCCTCCCTCATTCTGTCACTAGTCACACCCTCCCTCACTCTGTCACTAGAGTGAGGGGATGACTGGTGACAGAGTGAGGGAGGGAGTGGGTGACCAGTGACAGAGGGAGGGAGGTGGTGACTAGTGACAGAGGTGGTGACTGTCACTAGTCACTAGTCACCATCTCCCTCACTCTGTCCCTAGTCACCCCTCCCTCTGTCACTAGTTACCCCTTCCCTCCCTAACTCTGTCACTAGTCACCCCCTCATTCACTAGTCACACCCTCCCTCACTCTGTCACTAGTCACACCCTCCCTCACTCTGTCACTAGAGTGAGGGGATGACTGGTGACAGAGTGAGGGAAGGGGTGACTAGTGGCAGAGTGAGGGAAGGAAGGGGTGACTGGTGATAGAGTGAGCAAATGACTGGTGACAGAGTGAGAGAGGGGAACGACTAGTGACAGAGTGAGTTAGGGGGTGACTAGTGACAGGGTAAGGGACGGAGGGGGTGGCTAGTGACAGAAGGAGGTGGTGACTAGTGACAGAGTGAGGGAGGTGGTGACTAGGGACAGTCACCACCTCCCTCACTCTGCCACTAGTCACCCCTTCCCTCACTCTGTCACTGTTCACCCCCTCACTCTAGTGATAGAGTGAGGAAGGGGGTGACCAGTGACAGAGGGAGGGGTGACTAGGGACAGAGTGAGGGAGGTGGTGACTAGTGACCTGTGACAGTCACCACCTCCCTCACTCTGTCACCTGTCATCCCCTCACTCTGTCACTAGTCACCCACTCCCTCCCTCACTCTGTCACTAGTCACCCCCTCTCTCACTCTGTCACTAGTCATCACCTTCCTTACTGTCACTAGTCACACACTCCCTCTCTCTGTCACTAGTCACACCCTCCCTCACTCTGTCACTAGTCACGCCTTCCTTCCCTCACTCTGCCACAAGTCACCCCTTCCCTCACTCTGTCACTAGTCACCCCCTCACTCTAGTGACAGAGTGAGGGAGGGTGTGACTAGTGAGAGAGTGAGGGAGGGTGTGACTAGTGACAGAGTTAGGGAGGGAAGGGGTAACTAGTGACAGAGGGAGGGGTGACTAGGGACAGAGTGAGGGAGATGGTGACTAGTGACTAGTGACAGTCACCACCTCTGTCACTAGTCACCGCCTCCCTCCCTCTGTCACTGGTCACCCACTCCCTCCCTCACTCTGTCACCAGTCATCCCCTTACTCTGTCACTAGTCACCTCTTCCTTCCCTCACTCTGCCACTAGTCACCCCTTCCCTCACTCTGTCACTAGTCACCCCCTCACTCAAATGAAAGAGTGAGGGAGGGTGTGACTAGTGACAGAGAGAGGGAGGGTGTGACTAGTGACAGTCACCCCCTCCCTCACTCTGTCACTAGTCACCCCCTCCCTCACTCTGTCACTAGTCACCCCTTCCCTCACTCTGCCACTAGTCACCCCTTCCCTCACTCTAGTGACAGAGTGAGGGAGGGGGTTACTAGTGACAGAGGGAGGGGTGACTAGGGAAAGAGTGAGGGAGGTGGTGACTAGTGACAGTCACCACCTCCCTCACTCTGTCACTAGTCACCACCTCCCTCACTCTGTCACCAGTCATCCCCTCACTCTGTCACTAGTCACGCCTTCCTTCCCTCACTCTGCCACTAGTCACCCCATCACTCTAGTGACAGAGTGAGGGAGGGTGTGACTAGTGACAGTTAGGCAGGGAAGGGGTGACTAGTGACAGAGGGAGGTGGTGACTAGGGACAGAGTGAGGGAGGTGGTGACTAGTGACAGTCACCACCTCCCTCACTCTGTCACTAGTCACCACCTCCCTCCGTCACTGTGTCACCCCCTCCCTCACTCTGTCACCAGTCATCCCCTTACTCTGTCACTAGTCACCCCTCCCTCACTCTGCCACTAGTCACCCCTTCCCTCACTCCCTCACTCTGTCACCTGTCACCCCCTCACTCTGTCACTAGTCACCCCCTCACTCTAGTGACAGAGAGAGGGAGGGTGTGACTAGTGACAGTGAGTAAGGGTGTGACAAGTGACAGTGAGTAAGGGTGTGACTAGTGACAGAGAGAGGGAGAGTGTGACTAGTGACAAAGTGAGGGAGGGAAGGGGTGACTAGTGAGAGTGAGGGAGGTGGTGATTAGTGACAGAGGGAGGAATGGGGTGACTATCACTGTGTCACCCCCTTCCTTACTCTGTCACTAGTCACCCACTCCCTCCCTCACTCGGTCACTAGTCACCCCCTCTCTCACTCTGTCACCAGTCATTCCCTCACTATGTCACCAGTCATCCCTTCCTTCCCTCACTCTGCCACTAGTCATCCCTTCCCTCACTCTGTCACCAGTCATCCCCTCACTCTATCACCAGTCACCCCTTCCTTCCTTCCTTCCTTCACAGTGACAGAGTTAGGGAGGGAGTGACTAGTGACAGAGAGAGGGATGGGGTGACTAGTGACAGAGTGTGGAAGAGGGTGACTAGGGACAGAGGGGGTGATTAGTGACAGAGTGAGGGAGGGGGTGACTAGTGACAGTGAGGGAGTGGGTGACAGTGACAGAGTTAGGGAGGGAGTGACTAGTGACAGTCACTCCCTCCCTCTGTCACTAGTCACTCCCTCCCTCTGTCACTAGTCACTCCCTCACTCTGTCACCAGTCATCCCCTCACTCTGTCACCAGTCACCCCTTCCCTCCCTCACTCTGCCACTAGTCATCTTTTCCCTCCCTCACTCTGCCACTAGTCACCCATTCCCTAACTCTGTCACTAGTCACCCCCTCTCCCTCCCTATGTCACTAGTCACCCCCACTCACTGTGTCTCCCCCTCACTCTGCCACCACTCAACCCCTCCCTCCCTCACTCTGCCACCAGGTACCCCCTCACTCTGCCACCTGTCACAACCTCCCACACTCTTCCACCTGTCACCTTCTCCCTCACACACTGTCACCTGTCACATATGCATTCACACAGACACTATATACAAAAAAGCACATGTAGTCATCCCGACATGCACAAGTGCATTCACACAGACTCAAATACAAACATGCATTGATACACAGGTCTTCACAATATACACATCCAAAGGAATGCTGTATTATGAGTTATATTTAACATTTATTTAATGCACATATATTTGGCCTTCAAAGGGCCTGGGATCTAATTTTGCCCGGGGGCCCCAAAGGCTCTCAGTCCGTCCCTGCTAATAACCCCCGTATTGAACAGGTGAAGACCATCTGGCTGCGTAGAGGGCCATTTGGACTGTAAAATTGCTATTCAACGGGTCTGAATTAGTTCCAGATTTCAGATAGACCAAACACCATCAGTTGGCTGACCCAAATGCTTCAAATCCAGGTCCGGAGGTGTCAAATCCAGGCCCAGATTATTATTATTTTTTTTTTTATATCTCTTTATTTTATTATATGAAATTTTAACATTTACATATGAGGTATCCCAAAGGCAATCCTCCAGCACATTAAGACAACCAAATACAAAAGATAAATGTTAAAAAGGACAGCAAAAAGGTTAAACACACAAAAAAAAAAAAAAGACAATAAAATAATAAAAGAAAAAAAAATCAATGTAACTGCTAAGAGCATAGATAGGTAGGCAGTATATTATAATATAGGCACTGTGTAGTATTAAACACTGAATGATTACACATATAGTACAGTGTATTCGTTGAGAGCCATCATGCACCCAATGTGTATTTCCATCACACTACACTTGTCCAATGCCAATCGCTATCAAAAAACGGGTTAACGCCAACATATCCCATGGTATAGATATCACATTGAAAAAAAAAAAATTTTTTTAATTAAATAGAAAAATATAAATAGTTATAATACAAATAATTACTCCTCTGAGACTCGATAAGGGGGGGACCACAATGCATAATCATGAATTCTGTCTGTTTGTCCAGGGTAACCATAATTTGGCCACATCTCTAGTACCAAAAAAGGGAATTGATTCCATCCTATATTGATACTCTATTTGCTCCATAATATTGTGCCATAATAATGGGATAGAAGATTTCCAAGCCCTAGCTATACATATTTTAATAGCAAAAAATATATGAGTCAAGAGATATTTTTGATATTTGTCCTGTGAAGGAAAACCAATGTTGAAGAGAAAAAGTTGAGGACTAATTTCTTTTATCTCCTTAAAAATAGAATTAATAAGGCCAAACATTTGAATTTTTATATTATCCAGACCATGACACTCCCACCATATATGGTAAATAGTTCCCTCCTCAGTTCCACATCTCCAACAATTCTTAGAATGGACAGATGATATTTTGTATAGTCTAGTCGGTACCATATACCACCTATATATTATCTTTAAATGTGTTTCATAAAGAGAGACACTATGTATACAACGTTTAACTAGGAGTGTAGCTTTGGTCCATTCCAGAAGTGAAAAGGATTCCCCAATATCTTGTTCCCATTTAACAAAAGAGGTAGCATGAGAATCTTGTTCCATTGATTCTAGCACCTTAATAAATCTAGAGATCCCACCCTTCTTTTTATATAATATAATAAGGGGATTAACAATATGGTCCTTAAGTATGGTCCGAGAAAGTATAAAATTCTTAATCCTTAAATATTGGAAAAGATCTCTGGGGGGAAGATTAAACTTTTCTTGCAATTGTGTAAATGGGATGGGTTTAGATCCATCCCATAAATCCGAGATCTTCGTTAGACCTAGATGTATCCAAGATTGAACATTTATATTATCCATTATATATTGTAGGACCACTAATGGAACTCTATATAATAACTTATCTTCCAACTTCAATTTTTTATTTAGAATTCTAGAAGTCTTGACCATATCTATCAATATTCGGTTCGAAAAATTCTTGGTATCCAATTCACCCAAATTTAACAAACCCATCCAAAAAAGAACAAACAATTTACTTCTAGGGCTATCCTCCTGTTCTAGGGTAAACCATGATATGGATCCCTGTTCCCTATCTAACCACTGTAATAGATGAGTCGCCATACATGCTTCATGAATTTTATCAACATCTGGAAATGCTATACCACCCTTCTGATAGCTCCTTCGAAGAGTGTCAAAAGCTATCCTAGGTGGTTTATTTGCCCAAATGCATTTGGAAATCAAAGTTTGAAAACAATTAAGAGTACCCTTCCCCAGTCTATAAGGAATCGCCCTAAAATAGTATATAAGTTTAGGTATCAAAAAAGCCTTAATCATATTTAGTCTTCCTATCCATGAGGACTCAATCTTCCTCCAATTGTATACCAGTTGTTGCAAGTCTCTTAATAATGTATCATAATTTGTTTGTATCGTCCTCTCTATATCAAAAGATATTTTAATCCCCAAATAGCCAATAGTATCTTTTGCCCATGAAAATTGGAAATGTGCAGCCAAAAAATCTTTCTGGGCCTCAGATAAAAAAGAGGCTAGAATTTGAGTTTTTTTCATATTGATCTTATAGTTGGAGAAGCTACTATAGTTGGATATAGCATCCAATACTGATGGAATTGAAACCATCGGGTCCGTCAAGGTAAGGAGGACATCATCTGCAAAAAGGGAAATCTTGGTTTCCCCATTGTGAGATTTGACCCCTTTTATATTAGTATCCTGTCTGATCAAGGTGGCCAAAGGTTCAATTGTAAGAATATATAGCAGGGTGGCCAAAGGGCAACCCTGTCTAGTACCATTTTTGACCTCAAAATGGTCAGACTCAGCAAGAGGGTTAATTATTTTAGCTGTAGAATTCCTATATAGCAACATAGTTTTATGTCTAAACTGACCCTCCAAGCCAAATTGGCCCATGACAGAGTCCAGGAATCTCCAATTGACTCTGTCAAAGGCCTTCTCAGCATCGAGGGCCATAATAACAGATCCCCATTTATGCTCATTTATTCTATGTATTAAGTTAAATGTCCTACGCGTATTATCTGTAGTACCTCTCCCTTGCACAAATCCAGACTGATCAACATCAATCAATTCTCCAATTACCATTTTAAATCTATTAGATAATATTTGAGAGAATATGTTTATATCTAGGTTAATGAGAGATATAGGTCTATAGTTAGTTATAAGTGTTAGATCTTTCCCTACTTTGGGTATAGGAATGATTGAAGCCAATAACATCTCATTAGGGAAAGGGGTATCCGCGGACGCCTTCGTAAACATCTCTAGAAGGATAGGGGAAATGAGTCTAGAAAAGGTTTTATAAAACATTGTTGAAAAGCCATCTGGGCCTGGAGCCTTATTCAATTTTAACTTATCTATTACTTCGGTTACTTCTGATAGTAAGAATGGGGCATTCAGCGATTCCAACTTCCTTTGATTAATTTTTGGTAATTTAAGGTTACTCAGAAATGTATCCATTTCTTCTCTACTCCTCCCTACCTCCTTTAGATTATATAGAGATTTATAAAATTCCGCAAATACATTTACAATATCATTTGGTGACACTAAATGTTTATCACCTAAAACAATTTTTTTTATAAATTTATCTTTGAGATTATTTTTAATTTTATTAGAAAGATCTTTATTTATTTTATTATTATTATGGTACCATCTTTGTTTAAGGAATAGTATATTTTTATTGACCAAATCATAGATTCTATCTTTAATAGTTTCCCTTAATTTAGCTATTTCTTCGGTTAAATCTTTATTCACTATATTTTTATTTAGACGTTCCTTGTTTGCCAGTTTTATTCTTAACTCCTGCAAAGATTCTCCCTTCTTCCTCTTAGATTCTGAACCAAGTTTAATCAATAATCCCCTTATAAAGCTTTTAAAGGTACACCATACCGTTGCCGTGGAAACTTCCCCATTATCATTGGTGATCAAAAAATTTTCAATTTCAGATGACAAAAAATCAATATTGCACTCTGATTTCAGGAGGCTTTCATTAAGTCTCCACCTTGTCCTTGGTCTAAGACCACCTTTTAACTTAACCTTAATGAATACTGGTGCATGATCTGATACAACTATGGATCCTATATTGGATTTAATAATAGAACTCAAAAACCCCGCTTTCACCAGAAACATATCTATTCGAGAGTAGGTCTGGTGAACATGTGAAAAGAAAGTATAATCTCTCTCACTAGGATTCAAGGTCCTCCAACAATCAAATAGGGAATTCCTATCTAGAAATTTAGAAAAATCAGAAGCATAGGTATTTGCAAATTTATGGTCTCTAGCATTTTTATGGCTTTTATCCCGTACTGGATCCAATACACAATTGAAGTCTCCCCCAATTATGATATTACCACATGCTAATTCATCAACTTTTTCCATCATTTTATCCAAAAAATCTCCTGGGCATGAATTTGGTGCATAAACATTAACCAAAGTATATATAATACCATTAATTTTTGTGATGAGTATCACGTATCTTCCCATTGGATCCCCAGTTAGATGTATCATTTCAAAATTAATTCTGCTAGAGACTATAATTGCAGTGCCTCTTTTTTTTTTATTCCCTTCCATATTGGAGGAAAATATGAACGGGAATTTCTTAAACTTCCAGAGTTTCTCTGGGGGATTAATCCAATGTGTCTCCTGAATAAAGGCAATATCGATGACATTATCAATTAAAAATTTATAGACCGCTCCCCTTTTCTGTGGTGAGTTCAAACCCTGGACATTCCATGATATTACATTAAGTGCCATCATAACACCTATTGTCCTGAATACCCCCCAAATCGAGTCTCAGAGAAGCAAAAGAGAGAAAAAAAAAAGAGAAGAA